CCTTCCTCAACCCAATTACCTCAACCATAGAAATGATCCCTCCCATACCTAACTACCCTCAAACCTTAAAAAATGATCTTCCCCAAACCCATTAAAAATCAACCCTAGAACTGATCCCTTCCTCATACCTAATCTACCATCAAAACCCTTTAAAAAATGATCCCTTAAAATAATCCAAACCCTCACCTTAAAACATGATCCTTTTTACCCAATCTACCATCAACCCTAACATGATCCCTTCCTATAACTAATCCCCAACCATAGAACAGATCCCCTTCCTCTACCAATCTCCATCAACCATAGAAAATGATCCCTTCCCCCATACCTAATCTACCAAAACCATAGAAAATGATCCCTTCTCATACCCAAACTACCATCAACCATAGAAATGATCCCCTTCCCCTACTAATCTACCACAACCTTAAAACATGATTCTTCCTATACAATTAAACCCTCAACCATAGAACCCTGATCCTTCCTCATACCCAAACTACCCTAAAAAATTAAGCATATCCCTTCCCCATACCTAATCTCCCCTCAAACCAAGAAAATGATCCCTTCCTCAACCTAATCTACCCTCAACCTTAAAAATATCCCTTCCTCATACCAATCTACATCAAATTAAACAAATCCCTTCCTATACCCAACTACCCCAAAACCCTAGAACAGATCCTTCCTCATACCTAAACTACCATCAAACCCTTAAAATATCCCTCCTCATACTAATCTCCATAACCATAGAGTATCCCTTCCTCATACCCAAAAATTCCTCAACCTTAAAACATGATCCCTTTCCCCATACTAATCTCCAAACCTTTAAAAAAAGATCCTTCCTATACCTAATTACCATCAAAACCCTAGAAAAGATTTCCCCCCCTCATACCAATCTAAAAATCAACCTTTTAAAAAAGTCCCTTCCCCTACTAATCACCCTAACCATAGAACTGATCCCTTCTCAACCTAATCTACTCAAAATAGAACATGATCCCCTCCTCAAAACCCAATCTACCATAAAAACCCTAGAAAAAGATCCCTTTTCCCCCCTAATCACCATCAACCTAAAAAAAATCCCCCCCTCATACCCAAACTACCATCAACCTTTTAAAAAAAGATCCCTTTCCCCATACCAATCTACCATCAAATTTAAAACAGATCCCTTCCCCAACCTAATCTACCATCAACCTTAAAACATGATCCCTTTCCCAACCTAAAACTACCATCAAAACCCAAAAACAGATCCCCCCTCATACCTAAACCTCAACCCTAGAAAAAGATCCCTTTTCCCCATACCTAACTACCATCAACCCTTAAAAAGATCCCCCCTTACTAATCTACCTCAAAAACCATAAACATGATCCCCTTTCCCCATCCAATTACCATCAACCTTAAAAAAAGATCCCTTCCTCAAACCCAACTACCCACCCCAAAAAAACCCCCCAACCTAACACCATCAACCAAAACGGGCCCCCAACCAACACCCTCAACCTTAAAAAAGTCCCCCTAACCAATCTACCTCAACTTAAAAACATGACCCCCTCAACCTAATCACCATCAACCTTTTAAAACAGATCCCTTTTCCCCAAACCTACACCATCAACCTAAAAAATACCCTTCTATACCAATCTAACCCTCAACATAGAACATGATCCTTCCTCATTACCTAAATCTACCATCCAACTCTTAAAACATGGATCCCTTCCTCATGACCTAATCCTACCATCAACCCTTTAAAACATGATCCCATTCCTCATACCATAATCTTACCATTCAACTTAAAACAGATCCCTATCCTCATACCTATCTAGATACCATCAACCTTAAAAGCATAGTGCCAACCAGACTGGGTCTAGTGGAGGTGCCAAGGCGTTGTGCAAAGCTGTCATCAAGGACGCAAGGGTGGACTATTTGAAGATCGTCAAAATATAAAATAGATGTTTGCATTTGGTTTTAACCACTTTTTTTGGTTACTACAGGATTCCATATGTGTTATTTCCATAGTTTTTGAGGTTCCTTCACTATTATTCTACAATGCTAGGGGATGTAAGAAAATCGTAAAAAATAAAGACCAAACCCTTGGGATGAATATGGTGTCCAAACTTTTGACAGGTAGTATAGTATATATTATATATACTTATATATATATATATATATATATATATATGTACACAATAAAGAAAATCAATTACTGGGTAACTTCTAAATATTGCTCCCAGAGTTGATCAAAGCTCAGAATGCTTATGTTCTTGATCAGTCTGAGTTCTAATCGCGCCTGCCTCTTTGAAAACAAGTGGAATCATGAACAGTGCTTTGTTCTTTATGTTCGCCTGCGTCCCCAGGGCCGTAGCCAGGGTTTGAGTTTTAGTGAGGTCCGGAAGGGACATTTTACTGCATTTCTATACAATTAAAAAAACTTTCAAATTCTATTTGGAGAACAGCAAAAACAAGCCAAAATGACCCCAGCCATTGGCTGCTGTAGGTTCATTCACCTCAGTCCATCTACTAACACATATCCTATTAGCTATACAATTGTAATGCTATACCCATGAATGGGGGGAAATATGAGACATGATTCACACTGACACATAGCATCACAGATGAAACAAAAACCTAGGACATTTATAGAACTGTATGTTTGCATTTTGATAGTATTTTAATGTCGGCCTATAGGGAAGATAGGTCCTGTGGAGATGTTCATATTAAAACATATCAGAAACTTTGAACATCCCACGGAGCACCATTAAATCCATTATTAAAACATGGAAAGAACATGGCACCACAACAAACCTGCCAAGAGAGGGCTGCTCACCAAAACTCACAGACCAGGCAAGGAGGGCATTCATCAGAGAGGCAACAGAGAGACCAAAGATAACCCTGAAGGAGCTGCAAAGCTCCACAGCGGAGATTGGAGTATCTGTCCATAGGACCACTTTAAGCCGTACACTCCACAGAGCTGGGCTTCACGGAAGAGTGGCCAGAAAAAACCCATTGCTTAAAGAAAAAAATAAGCAAACACGTTTGGTGTTCGCCAAAAGGCATGTGGGAGACTCCCCAAACATACAAAGGTACTCTGGTCAGATGAGACTAAAATTGAGCTTTTTGGCCATCAAGGAAAACGCTATGTCTGCCGCAAACCCAACACCTCTCATCACCCAGAGAACACCATCCCCACAGTGAAGCATGGTGGTGGCAGCATCATGCTGTGGGGATGTTTTTCATCGGCAGGGACTGAGAAACTGGTCGGAATCCCAGTGGCTAGATGTGCCAAGCTTATAGAGACATACCCCAAGAGACTTGCAGCTGTAATTGCTGCAAAAGGTGGCACTACAAAGTATTGACTTTGGGGGGGGGGGGGGGGGGGGGGTGAATAGTTATGCACGCTCAAGTTTTCAGTTTTTTTGTCTTATTTCTTGTTTGTTTCACAATAAAAAATATTTTGCATATTCAAAGTGGTAGGCATGTTGTGTAAATCAAATGATACAACCCCCCCCCCCCCCCCCCCCCCCCAAAAAAAAAATCAATTTTAATTCCAGGTTGTAAGGCAACAAAATAGGACAAATGCCAAGGGGGGTGAATACTTTCGCAAGCCGCTGTGGCTAGATGTAGAAGGCTAATGTTAACTAGCTAACGTTGCCCATGAAAGGAAGTTAGGCTAGCGAGCAAGCATTTTAGCCAGGTAGCCTAGGACAACAAAAACTAAAAGCGTGGACTGTATGACAGCATCATAGACCATTTCATCAACATGAAAGAGAGGAGGATGTCATTGGTGTTTCTCTACCAGTAGGGTGAGTCAACATGAAAGAGAGGAGGATGTCATTGGTGTTTCTCTACTAGTAGGGTGAGTCAACATGAGAGAGAGGATGTCATTGGTGTTTCTCTGCTAGTAGGGGGAGTCAACATGAAAGGGAGGAGAATGTCATTGGTGTTTCTCTACTAGTAGGGGGAGTCAACTTTACATTTACATTTTAGCAGACACTCTTATCCAGAGCGACTTACAGGAGCAATTAGGGTTAAGTGCCTTGCTCAAGGGCACATAGACAGATTTTTCACCTAGTCGGCTTGGGGATTAGAACCAGCGACCTTTCGGTTACTGGCACAATGCTCTTAACCACTAAGCTACCTGCCGCCCCAGGGTGAGTCATCATGAAAGGGAGGAGGATGTCATTGGTGTTTCTCTACTAGTAGGGTGAGTCAACATGAAAGAGAGGATGTCATTGGTGTTTCTCTACTAGTTGGGTGAGTCAACATGAAAGAGAGGCGGATGTCATTGGTGTTTCTCTACTAGTAGGGTGAGTCAATATGAAAGAGAGGAGGATGTCATTGGTGTTTCTCTACTGGTAGGGTGAGTCAATATGAAAGAGAGGAGGATGTCATTGGTGTTTCTCTACTAGTAGGGGGAGTCAACATGAGAGAGAGGATGTCATTGGTGTTTCTCTACTAGTAGAGGGAGTCAACATGAGAGAGAGGATGTCATTGGTGTTTCTCTACTAGTAGGGGGAGTCAACATGAGAGAGAGGATGTCATTGGTGTTTCTCTACTAGTAGGGGGAGTCAACATTACATTTTAGCAGACACTCTTATCCAGAGCGACTTACAGGAGCAATTAGGGTTAAGTGCCTTGCTCAAGGGCACATCGACAGATTTTTCACCTAGTCAGCTTGGGGATTAGAACCAGCAACCTTTCGGTTACTGGCACAATGCTCTTAACCACTAAGCTACCTGCCGCCCCAGGGTGAGTCAACATGAAAGGGAGGAGGATGTCATTGGTGTTTCTCTACTAGTAGGGTGAGTCAACATGAAAGAGAGGAGGATTGTAACTTTATAGCTTTATTATGAAGAGAAAAGGGATCCTCTCACAACCCATTTGATATAATATTATTTGGTTACACCCATATTTTCGTAATGGTTGATGTTAGTTTTAATTTTCATGCCCCGAGTATGAAGAAAACTTCATTTTGATTGAGTCACGCAAAAAAACATAAAGTCCCAGAATCCCCAGCGAAGGGGGCTGGGTCTGACGTCACCGCAACAGGAAGCGTCGCTGTGCTAAAAACATTGAAGGAGGAAAGCGCAACAAAACGCTATCTAACGCGAAGCTGCAGGAATGGTTGCTTTTAAGAAAATCAGTTGATTTGTGAAAGATTATTTCATAATCTACAACTTGTCTTCATTTGATCGCCATCCAGCTTGAGAACTCTCGAATTTGCGAGTTAGCAGCCCTAGATAGATAGCTTGTGTTGACCAAAATGGATGACAGCAAGGTACGCTGTTCTCTGCATGTAGTTTAGCTAGACGATTGTTATAAATTATTTAGGCTTAAATCAGACATGAATGTTAATGTTTTTTTGGATGTATCGTTACTATTGGGGGATTGTCTTTCACAGCCAACGATCTCAGATGAATACAATGGTTTTGTTTGCTTCTCCAGCAAGAGGTTAGGTACTGCAGCTAGCTAGGACACTAGCTAAAGTCTCTGAATAACAATGCACTGTGTGTTTCTTTTCTGCTGATATCTCGATAGATGGTGGGAGGCAAAGTCAAGAAGCCCGGTAAACGAGGCCGTAAGCCCGCTAAGATTGATCTGAAGGCGAAGTTGGAAAGGAGCCGGCAGAGCGCCCGGGAGTGCCGAGCGAGGAAGAAGCTCCGGTATCAGTACCTAGAGGAGCTCGTCTCCAGCAAGGAGAGGGCCATCTGCGCCCTGAGAGAGGAGCTGGAGATGGTACATAACCCTTTCTTCCCAAAATGCACCAGCTATTCCCGTGAATTTGGTCTAAACCACTCATTTGGTGTCACGAATTAGAATATTCACTTCACCTGCCCATCCCTTAGAAACACGGACCCAACCACATCACTAATGTAGCCAACACTCTAAACTAGCAGCAGTGCTGTGTAGCCCTAAGCCCATCCCTTAGAGACACGGACCCAACCACATCACTAATGTAGCCAACACTCTAAACTAGCAGCAGTGCTGTGTAGCCCTAAGCCCATCCCTTAGAGACACGGACCCAACCACATCACTAATGTAGCCAACACTCTAAACTAGCAGCAGTGCTGTGTAACTAAACAGGTGTTTTCCAGACCACACAGCTTCTTTTTTTTTTGTTGCAGTGAACTCTGTCATCTAACTCGCTGATGGGTTTCTCCCTCTCCTTCAGTACAAGCAGTGGTGTACAGCCATGGACCAGGGGAAGATCCCGTCTGAGATAAAGGCTCTCCTGACGGGGGACGAACAGAAGACTCAGGGCTCCTCCACCAAGAGCTCCAAGAACAACAACAGCAACCAGAGCTAATGTGTTGGGAGTGCTAGTCTGACTGTTAGAGGTGGCAGACCTGGGTTGTATTCATTAGGGGGAAATTATATAAAACGTTGCGCAACGGAAAACAGGGGGGGGGGGGGTGTTCATATAGTACCTCCCCCTTTCGGGCCTGTTTGCTTCCCGTTTGGTGCCTAGTGAATACGACCCAGAGTGAGTCTGAAAGGTTCCAGACCAGAGCTCGGCTGTAGGTACTCAGTCTGTCGTGCCAGACCTCTCCGCTGTGTAAGGCCTCGGTGTGACGGAGACTGAAGCTGTGTCCTGAGTGTCTCATCGGTCCGTCTGTTTCTGCCCCTCCCTCCTAAAGGAGACGCACAGCAACAGAACTGTCAGAGATACATAGCTGTCATTAACTAACGCTAGGGTAATAGCTCTTAGTTGTAATCCACCTTATTGGCCTGATTTATCATGCTTTGTTCACTATTGCAACACTCTGATTCGTTCATGTTAGTAACGTCAAAGATGTTATTAGTTACAGATATAGACTGCCTGTATTTAGTTAGATAGACACCTTTAGACGGCCTGTATTATATTTATTTTAATTTCCTTGTCTCAATGTTATGGCTTCTACACGTGAGGAACCATTTTAATGGTATAGACAAAACAAAGGGCTTAGATTGTGCATGCAACCCCACCTGGCCTATACATTCAGACAAAACAAAGCACATATTTTAACCTTTAAAATAAGGAATTACTCTTATTTGACTTGTATTGGTTATTATGACTCAGTTTTGATCCCTTCCAAATACAAACTATGTTTGCATCCCAAATGGCACCCTATTCCCTAAATAGGGTTCTGGTCTAAAGTAGTGCACTATATAGGGTTCTGGTCTAAAGTAGTGCACTATATAGGGAATAGGGTTCTGGTCTAAAGTAGTGCACTATATAGGGAATAGGGTGCCATTTGGGACGTATAGCAGAAAAGGAACGCTAACATGTATCTGCAGAGATGATGTAATGATAAACAGTGCTGTTTATGTTGAATGGATACATGTTGGATTTATTTTGTATTTATATATTTTTATTGGATCACAGAAAGCCCTTTTTGCAGGTTTTGTAGTGTGATGATTGTATAGCAGGTCTGACAAGCAAAGAAAGCTATTTGCCATTTTGTAAAGATGTTAAAGCCCCTTGTTTGTGTGAAAGGCTAGAATGGGGTCATGACCTTACCAGAACAGTGCTGCTGAAGCATTGCTCAACTTATGTTGTTTGTCAGTAACATTACATTGTATCCATGTGGTATCTAATTGAAGCCTAGGCTACTCATTGCTCTCTCACCATAATGCAACCTAAATATAGTAGCCTATACCTGTTTTGGTTTACAAATGATGATTCTATTGTAATTTAGGGTAAATAAATAAGCACTCATTAATAGACATTCATTCAGCCTGACACTCATTAATAGACATTCATTCAGCCTGACACTCATTAATAGACATTCATTCAGCCTGACACTCATTAATAGACATTCATTCAGCCTGACACTCATTAATAGACATTCATTCAGCCTGACACTCATAAATAACATCATTCCTGCCGACACTCATTAATAGACATTCATTCTGCCTGCCACTCATTAATAGACATTCATTCTGCCTGACACTCATTAATAGACATTCATTCTGCCTGACACTCATTAATAGACATTTATTCTGCCTGACACTCATTAATAGACATTCATTCAGCCTGACACTCATTAATAAACATTCATTCAGCCTGACACTCATTAATAGACATTCATTCAGCCTGCCACTCATTAATAGACATTCATTCACACTGATTTGGCATTGGAGAAATATGATGAATTGAACACATAGGCCTATCTCTCTATCCATTCTTAGACGGTAATTTCGGTAATTTGTGTGGTATTAAAACAATATTCCGCTAATATGTAAAATTATGTTGAATTGCATAAAATCTACATGAAATGCTATCGGACCTGCAAATACTATGATAGATTCACGCAACGCTTTTATTATGAAGGAGATCTTTCCACCCCTAATCTTGTCCGGCCAGACGTGTATAGCCGTAACGGACATTTTTGTGACCTTATTTGACCTTTTCTCCTGCCTTTTGAGACACAGTTCGATCCCACCTTGGTCACTACTTGTTGAGTAATTTAAACACTAAACAATCACAACGCAGTAACTATTGATCACTTTATTATGGATTATTATCCTAATATGGATTCATTATAAAAAATTGTGTCAGTTATTAATGATAATATTAATGATTCACTTTTTTTTTTTTTTACTGCACTCTAGAGTAGTAGGCCTAGATATCTGTGTTTACATATTTACAGACTGTGTTTTATTTTTCCCTTGTCAGCCTCCCTTCTCTGCTTATCAGCTCCATAAAGAGTTGAGGGTCTGGAACTCCCTCCAGGTCATCTCTCTCTCCATTCCTTGGCCTTGGTTGCCTGATGACTCACCCTGGCTTTTTAAAATCGCTACATATATTCATTGTGGAGAACGAACGTCCCTTTGTCCGGAGCGATGTGGATGGGTAGCCAGGGAATGGCCTTGGCACATAGAAAATACTTTTTGCAGGACAGTAAACATATTAGCCCTCCACTCCTGGGAACCCTGTACATATGTGAAGGCTGTTGGGGCCCTGTTTCAGCTCCAGGTGACAGAACCTCCACACTCTCCCAGTCTGCTGACTTCCTTACCTCCACACACTCCCAGAGTCTGCCGACTTCCTTACCTCCACACTCCCAGAGTCCTGAGACTTCCTTACCTCCCACACTCCCAGAGTCTGACTTCCTTACCTCCACACACTCCCAGAGTCTGCTGACTTCCTTACCCTCCAGCACACCCACAGAGTCTGCCGACTTCCTACTCCACACTCCCAAGTCTGATGACTTCCCTTACCTCCACACACTCCCAGAGTCTGCGACTTCCATTACCTCCACACACTCCCAGAGTTCTGGACTTCCTTAACTCCTCACTCCCAGTCTGATGACTTCCTTACCTCCACATAGTCCCAGATCTGGCCGACTTCCTTACCTCCACACTCCCATTTTCTGGGCCGACTTCCTTACCTCCACACTCCCAGAGTCTGTGGCCGACTTCCTTACCTTCCACCACTCCCAGAGTTCTGCCGCCCTTCCTTACCTCCACCCTCCCAGAGTCCTGATGCCTTCCTTACCTCACATCCCCGAGTCTGCTGACTCCTTTACCTCCACACACGCCGAGTCTGCTGACGTTCCTTACCTCCACACACTCCCAGAAGTCTGCGACTTCCTTACCTCCACACACTCCCAAGTCTGCTGATTCCTTACCACCTCCACACTCCCAGAGACTGCCGACTCCTTACCTCCACACACCCCCAGCTGCCGACATTCCTTACCTCCACTCCACACACTCCCAGATTCTGATGACTTCCTTACCACCTCCACACACGCCCAGATCTGCTGACTTCCTTACCTCCCCACACTCCCATAGTCTGATGACTTCCTTACCTCACACACTACTCCCAGAGTCTGACTTCCTTACCCTCCACACCCTCCCATAGCGATGACTTCCTTACCTCCCCTCCCCACAAACTCCCAGATCTGCTTTCCTTACCTCCACACACCCCAGAGTCTGCTGACTTCCTTACCGCAACCAACCTCACACTCCCAGAGTCCTGACTTCCTTAACCTCCACAGCACTCCCAGAGTCTGAATGACTTACTTACCATCCACACACTCCCATATCTGACTTTCCCAATAGACCTCCACACACTCCCAGAGTCCTCTGACTCCTTACCTCCACACACTCCCATACTATGTAAAAAACCCCTGCCGACTTCCTTCACCACCCCTCTCCACCCACTCCCCTAGTCTGATGACTTCCTTACCTCCACACACTCCCATACTGCCGCCTTCCTTACCTCCACACACTGAACTCCCAGAGTTCTGATGACTTCCTTACCTCCACACCTCCAGACTGCCGAACTTCCGTACCTCCACCACTCACATAGTCTGTGACTTCCCCTTACTCCCACCGCTCCCAGACTGGCCGACTTCCTTACCTCCACACACTCCCAGTCTATGACTTCCTTACGCTTACCTCCCACACACTCCCAGAGTCTTATTACTTGACTTCCTACCCTCCACACCGCCCAGATCTGATGACTTCCTTACCACCCCCTCACACACACTTCCCATACTGCCGACTTCCTTACCTCCCACCCTCCCCAATTCCTGCTGACTTCCTTACCTCCACACACTCCCAAGACGTCTGCCCGACTATTCCTTACCTCCACACACTCCCATCTATACTTCCTTACCCCTCCACACACACTCACAGATCTGACTTCCATACCTCCACACTCCCAGTCTGATGACTTTCCTTACCTCCACACCCTCCCAGTCTGATGACTTCCCTTACCACCTCCACACAAAAACCCCCCTCCCAGACTGCCGACTTTCCTTACCTCCACCCACTCCCAGCCTGATGACTTCCTTACCCTCCACACACTCCCAGAGTCTGATGACTTCCTTACCTCCACACCCTCCCAGAGACTGATGACTTCCTTACCTCCACAACACTCCCAGAGTCTGATGACTTTTTTCCTTACCTCCACACACTCCCAGACTGATGACTTCCTTACTCCAACACACTCCCAGAGTCTCGACTTCCTTACCCCACCAACACTCCCAGAGTCGGATGACTTTCTTACCCTCACACACTCCCAGCGTCTGATGACTTCCTTTACCTAACCTCCACACTCCCCAGAGTCTGACTTCCTTCCCTTACCGCCACAACACTCCCAGAGTCTGACTTCCTTAAACCGTCCAACACTCCCAGAGTCTGCCGACTTTCCTTACCTCTCCAAACACTCCCAAGTCTGATGACTTCCTTATTACCCTCCACACACCTCCCAGAGTCTGATGACTTCCTTACCCCACACACTCCCATAGAACTGAGACTTCCTTACCTCCACACTCCCAGAGTCCTGGCTGACTTTCCTTACCTCCACCCACTCCCAGACTGCCGCCTCCTTACCTCCATCACACGCCCAGAGTCTGACTTCCTTCCCCCTCCACACTCCCAAGTTCTGCTTGACTTCCTTACCGACCTCGCACACCCCAGAGTCGCTGACTTCCTTACCCTCCCACAACTCCCGATTCCTGCTGACTTTCTTACTCCACAGCACTCCCCGAGTCTGCTGACTTCCTTACCTCCACACACTCCCAGATGTCCTTACTTCCTTACCTCCACCCCTCCCCTCAGTCTGCTGACTCCTTCCCCCCCCACCGTCACACTCCCAGAGTCTGATGACTTCCTTACCTCCACACACTCCCAGTCTGTTACTTCCTTACCCTCCACCACTCCCGAGTCCGGATGACTTCCCTTACCTCCACACACTCCCCAGAGTCTGATGACTCCTTACCGCCCCAAACCCCAAGTCCCTGACTTCCTTACCCTCCCACTCCCAGAGTCCTGCCTGACGTCCTTTACCTCCACACACTCCCAGAGTCCTGAACTTCCTTTCCTTACCACCTTCCAACACTACTCCAGACTGACTTCCTTACCTCCACACTCCCAGTCCTGATGACTTCCTTACCCTACCTTCCACACACTCCATCTGATGACTTCCTTACCTCCACACACTCCCAGAGTCGGATAACTTCCGTACCCTCCTCCACATCACTCCCAGAGTCTGATTGACGTCCTACTCCACACACTACTCACCCGAGTCTGCTGACTTCCTTACCCTCCACACTCCCGAGTCTGCTGATTTTTACCTCCACACACTTCCCAAGTCTGATGACTTCCTACCATCCACACACTCCCAGAGACCTGATGACTTCCTTTTGTCCTTCATTTTAACTCAGAGAAATATCAATCCAAAAACAAACTGTTGCTTTTAACGGGGAATGTACTGTTATTGCACATACAAGCCTCAATAAAAATGAGCATACATAAACTAAACAATGTATTTACATTGGGTCTAATGTGTGTGTGTGCGAGTGAGAGAGGGAGGCATGTTTTTCAACTCAGAAAAAATGCCCACAGAATTTCCTGTACAAATTAAGCAATACTCTTTTACAATATTATCAATCACACTTTGATTTGATAGATATTTAGAGTAATTATGTAGATATTGATAATGGATATGTAGGCGTAGATATCTCCAATCCTCAAATAAAACGGCGCATGCATAAAATAAACAATGTATTTACATTGGGGATAATGTGTGTGTGAGAGATAGTGTGCATGTTGTTTTCTTTTTCCTTGTCAGCCACCCCATATCTGCTTTGTCAGTCTTGATAGGCCCAGTGTATCCACTTCTGGGTGAGGCAGATCTGAAAGAGAGATACACAACGAGACAGTAAGTATACAGCTCAACAACATGTTTACGTGCACATCTGTTGGTGTGAGTGACTGAGCGTATGTGTCTGTAATATCATTCTGAATGACCTGTATCCATCTGGGAATCCTCAAACGTTTCTCCCTTCACGGCCAGTGTAGTAGGAACTGGTGCAGCCGGTGAATGAAATACCACAGCAGAGGACTGCTGTGACTGCAGCTGAACTGCTAGTGGGTGGCAGATCTAAAAGAGAGAGAGGCACCATTTTCTTAACTGACAATAATCATACAACTAAACAGACTGAATGAGTGTAAGGCCTAGATTCAATCAGATCAAGCGTTAACCGGTGATAGCCGACACCCGCATAGCTGATGTTTTGGCGGCGTCCGAGGTGCAGCTGCATTGGACCTGTCAAGTCGGTAAGCAGCTGCTCTTGATCACTGTCATGAAGTTACACCCGTCCTACTGGCGTTACAAGTTCAGAGCGAGAAAGTGTCGGCCATCTAGAAAACGTACGCTCAAATTAAAAATCATTAAAACGAAATAATCAGCCTAATCGAGGTGTAGATTACAAGTTTGAACACTGGAATTTGAGATGTAAACAACGCTGCATGAGATTTCTGTTAACGCGACTCCGTGCAGGGACCAATGTCAAACGTCCGCTTTAGGTATAACTCCAGGAGCCGCTTGTGGGTTTGACTGCTCTAACTGACAGTTCCACCTCTGACCCCGCCAAAACAACCGCTATGCAGATGCAGGCTCAAGCGGATGTGATTGAATAGAGCCCAGAGTGAGGGGGGAGTATGCATGTATGTGATTATTACCTGTATCACCTTCCCAACTCGCCGGTGTACAGTGCAGGGCAGAACGAATGCAGCTGTGAGGGCTGTGTTGAGCTAATAGGGGTGTCCAGATCTAAAAGGGAGAGGAACTTCTTAAGTGAAAATATTGTCATCAACTATGGGGGTCCTTAATAACCCAGGAAGAGTAAAGGCTTCTGCCTTGGCATCAACTAATGGGGATCCTTAATAACCCCAGGAAGAATAGCTGCTGCTCTTGGCATCAACTAATGGGAATGGGGCTCTAATAAACCCCAGGAAGAGTAGCTGCTGCCTTGGCATCAACTAATCGGTGATCCATAAAAACCCCAGGAAGAGTACTGCTGCCTTGCAGAACTATTGGGATCCATAATAAACCCCAGGAAGAGTAGCTGCTGCCCTTGTGGCAGGAACAATGGATCCATAATAAAACCCCGGAAGAGTACTGCTGGCCTTGGCAGGAACTCATGGGGATCCTAATAAACCCCAGTTAGAGTTAGCTGCTCTGCTTGCTTGGCAGGAATAATGGGGATCCCTCAATAAACCCCAGGAAGAGTAGCTGCTTGCCCTTGGCAGGAACTATGGGGCTCCATAATAACCCCCAGGAAGAGTAGCTGCTGCTTGGCGGAACTTATGGGGATCCTTAATAACCCGCCCAGGAAGAGTAGCTGCTGCCTTGGCAGGAACTAATGGGATCCATATAAACCCCAGGAAGAGGAGCTCTGTGCTTGGCAGGAACTAATGGGGATCCATAATAAACCCCAGGAAGAGTAGATGCTGCCTTGGCAGGAACTACTGTGATCCATAATAAACCCCATGAAGAGGCTATCTGCTCTGCCTTGGCAGAACTAATGGTACCATAATAAACCCCAGGAAGAGTAGCTGCTCTTTGCAGACCTAATGGGGAAATCCATAATAAACCCCAGGAAAGTAGCTGCTGCCTTGGCAGGACTAATGGGGATCATAATAAACCCCAGGGAAGAGTAAGCGACATGCCTTGGCAGAACTATGGGGATCCTTAATAACCCTCCCAGGAAGAGTAGCTGCTGCCTTGGGCATCAACTAATGGGGATCCATATAAACCCCAGGACTAGGTAGCTGCTCTGCCGTTGACAGGAACTAATGGGGATCCTTAATCAACCCCAGGAATAGGG